AAGACACAAAAATCCTGGACATCCAGGGAAAGGATTTTTGCCAAAAAATTAGCAGAAAACAGACGGATAATCTAAATAATGGGAGTGATGGTTGGTGATTGGGAACAGGGGAGCTATCTAAGAATATAGAGCCGGAGGTAGAATGTGGAGGCTGAAATAAAAGAAGAAATAACATCTGGAAACTGGAGCAGGAATTATGGAGATTATTAACCTTAGAGGTGAAAATGAAATAAAAAAACTGATTTTAATGGAATCTTGCTCATTTCTTAACAATTATATAATAATATAATAATTATATTTCAAAGTTCAAATTTGTAAGTTTGGATAAATTTCTTCACAAAAGTTTCATGTTTTACATAACTGGCTAAAAATTATAAAAATAAAAAACAAAACACCGTTTAATCTTCATTTTTCTGAAGTTAGGATAAAGTAGCCTGTCAGACAGAGGTGATATGTTTTGGTCTCTCTGTGTAAGATCTGAAAAGCTTCATGGCTCATTGAGCTCCGGTAGTGAAACTGACCCTGCCACTGGGAATGACTCAAATCATCAGTCAGCTGTTTCAAAAACTCCAGTTAGTGACTGATTCATTTTCCCTCACCTCACAGAGCAGTTGATGGGGATGTTACCTGATGCCTCATACAAGCACTCAACAGACCTGAAAACATCTTTTTAATGAAGCAGACAGATGTTTATTAAGTCTGCCCTTTGGTGTCCAGGGCATCTGCTAGTATCTGATCACTGGAGCTTATCATTTCTACTTCGGGTAAACAAAATATTGTGTCTCAGTGTATCTCCTTGTTCATATGTCCTTATGATATAAGAATGCATTTCTATTTCTTAAGAAATAAAACAAATACTTATTTTAGTTATTTTGAGTAAAATTTTAATTGAAGGTGTGTTTTTGCTATATTATTTTGTGTCAGAAAGAGTTCTGGTTGACTGTGACATAAATGCAAGAATGGAGCTCTTTATTAAGATTTTATGCAAGAACGATATAAATGCAGTGAAAAAAAACAGATGGATGGAGAGAGCAAGAATCAAGTTAAAACCGGATTTTCTGAATTTTCCTGTTCTGAAATACTTAATGATTCCTGGATATTTCAAACCTGTAAAAAAGATACGTTTTGAAAAGGTTTCTACGTTAATGTTTCTGTCCTTTAATATCTTCACTTTTTGTGATCTACTCAAAAACTTAGACCAAATAGTTTCCTTAGCAGAGGGGCAGACAATTGTATATATTGCATATTAAGAAAAGATTAGTTTATTAAGATATAGAAAGGGGCACTATTACCCCTTCTATTACCTCCCCAGTATTGTTGTTATGTCCTAAACCTAAGTTTTTTAGGGACATCTCAAACCTCTGGCTTTAACACAGAGGCCAACTAGGAAAAAATAAAGTCAGACCTTTTTTTTGTGCATATTTCTCAAAGCTGGGAGACCAGGAGAACCTGTACTGAGATGGCTTCGGCACAAACAGTTTTTTTTATTTTTTTATGTAACAGCAATTAAAGGTTGTTTTATATAAAGCAATAATTTTGTGCTGGTCAAAAAGAATTTGCTGTCTATTTAGAAGATCTGTTATCATGCAGGAAATACAGCTACTTTGGCCTTTTTTGACCTGGATGGCAAAGAGCATTTGAAACGATGCAGAAATCTAAAAACCTATGAATATAAAATAAACGTTTATTTACTATAAATACTATACGCAAAGCACGGGAAAAAAATGTCATCTGGAAGCTAAATAAGGTGCTTTATGTGTAAGTACAAGCCGTTTACCATTCATCGTTTTTAAACATTGTGAAATACAGTAGATTTGAAAAACTAAAAGAAAACTATTAGTTTATGCAGGTCAATAGTAAATAATAGAAAGATTGAACGAAAAGATTTAATTATCAAGCAATACAAATTTGTATTATTTTAATAAAGGAATATTTGATCTACATGCTAGTATTTTCTATTTCAATTTTCTTTTCAAACCAGATGTGTTACATGTAGATGGCAAAGAAAATCACACACAGATGGAGGTAAGGGAGTGGGTCAGGCTGTGTGATTGTCTTAGTTCGAGGCAGGTCCACTAAATACACTACTCAAAAAAATTAAAGGAACACTTTGTAATCAGAGTATAGCATCAAGTTAATTAAACATCTGGGATATTGATTTGGTCAGGTAAGTAGCAGAGGGGGTTGTTAATCAGTTTCAGCTGCTTTGGTGTAAATTACATTACCAGCAGGTGCACTAGAGGGGCAACAATGAAACGACCATCAAAACAGGAATGGTTTTACAGGTGGAGGCCACTGACAGGTGGAGGCCACTGACATTTTTTCTGACTCTTTTTCACCAGTTTTGCATTTGGCTAGGGTCACTGTCACTACTGTTAGCATGAGGTGCTACCTGGACCCTACAGAGGTTGCACAGGCAGTCCAACTACTCAGGATGGAACATCAATACGTGCCATTGCCAGAAGGTTTGCTGTGTCTCCCAGCACAATCTCAAGAGCATGGAGGAGATTCCAGGCAGTTACCCAGGAGAGCTGGGCAGGGCCATAGAAGGTCTACAACCCATCAGCAGGCCCGTTATCTGCTCCTTTGTGCAAGGAGGAGCAGGAGGAGCACTGCCAGACCCCTACAAAATGACCTCCAGCAGGCCACTGGTGTGAATGTCTCTGACCAAACAATCATAAAAAGACTTCACGTGTGTGGCCTACGGGCCTAACGTCCTCTAGTGAACCCTGAGCTCATTGCCCCCGATCGTGGAGCTCGACTGGCATGTGCCACAGAACAAGAATTGGCAAGTCCACCACTGGCGCCCTGTGCTTTTCACAGATGAGCGTAGGTTCACTCTGAGCATATGTGACAGACGTGAAAGGGCCTGGAGAAGCCATGGAGAACCTTATGCCGCCTGTAACATCGTTTCAACATGACCGGTTTGGTGGTGGGTCAGTGATGGTCTGGGGAGGCATATCCATGGAGGGACGCACAGACCTATACAGGCTAGACAACGGCACCCTGACTGCCATTAGGTATCGGGATGAAATCCTTGCACCCATTGTCAGACCCTATGCTGGTGCAGTGGGTCCTGGGTTCCTCCTAGTGCACGACAATGCCCGGCCTCATTGTGGAGAGAGTATGCAGGCAGTTCCTGGAGGATGAAGGAATTGATAACATTGATTGGCCCCCACGCTTGCCTGATCTAAATCCAATAGAACACCTCTGGGACATTATGTTTCGATATCCGATGCCGCCAGGTTGCACCTCAGACTGTCCAGGAGCTCAGTGATGCCCTGGTCCAGATCTGGGAGTAGATATCCCACAACGCCATCCGTCGTCTCATTAGGAGCATGCCCCGACGTTGTCAGGCATGCATACACGCACGTGGGGGCCATACAAATTACTGCATACCATTTTGAGTTGCAGCAATGAAATTTCAGCAAAATGGACTAGCCATGTGGCATCATTTTTTCCACTTTTGTTTTTGGGGTGTCTTTGAATTCAGCCCTCTGTAGGCTCATAATTTTCATTTCCATCAAATGATGTGGCGTCCTTTTGTTCCTAACACATTACCCAGTCCATATCAGTATAAATAAAGAGCATGATTTTTTTTCCACATTGAGACCTGACGTGTTTTCAAAATGTTCCTTTAATGTTTTTGAGCAGTGTATGTTCTGCTTGAGCTTACTTCCAAAATTAATTAACTACCCAAAAGCAAATTTGATGTTTAACTTTTTTACGCAAATGTTTTTCAAAACGTTAAGTCACAATACGACTTGTCTAACATCAAAAAATCTGCTTTCCTTGCAGTAATTTGGTGCCTAGTATTACAATAACTTTAAGTCATTTTTGTAAAATGTTCAACTATGAACGACCTCATGGTACCAAGAGGGGGGAATATCTTCAAACAGAAAATGTAACATCGTTGATCTCAGTTATGATATTTGGGATTTAAGTTAAATATCTCATTAAACGTTTTTTTTTTTTTTTTTTTTAGTTTGCACATTATTTCCTTCAATGAAAAGTTATTTTCTTCAATAAGACTCCGAAAAAAGATCTGTTCTCCAGCCATTTGACCTATGACTGAACTCCTGCAGTGTGGACACACACACACAATGAAGCATCCTCCAACAGCTGAGTTATGAAACATTGCTTTCAGCTCTAAACATCGGCCTTCAGATTGTATCCAAAGTATTTAGAAAATTTTCCATAAGCTCAGTGGGATAGCCTGTAACAAAAAATGTTGTGATAGAAATCTTGTTGCAATATTGGAAAATACTTCTATGTTTAAATCATATCAGTTTCAAATCTCTGACCAAAAGGATGCATTTTTATTTTCTTTTTTGTGCAGGTCTGGTAGGTCATTGTATGGTACATTTAGTAAACAAAAACAAACAAACAAAAATATGATATTTGCAGATATAACAACAGTAAACCGAGGACAACCAAAGAGTGTTTCTAAATGATCTGGTCTCTCCTTAAATCCATTTTTTCCTCTCTGATGCACACGTTGTAGCACAATCACATCACCCTGCCTCATCCCTCCTTCTCCACCTCACCTCACTCTGTTTTCTCTTTTCCACGCACCACTGGGAGTGAAGCAGCTTTGCGCTGCTGTTCTCCAGACTCTGATGAGACTGTACAACATCGCTTAGGCGAGCTGCCTCCAGATGCGCTGCACTAATCACCGCGCAGCGCATTCTTCTACTAACGCTGAGGGACCGGCGGCCGTCCGCAGGGCAGCGCGCATCTGTCCCCAACCCAGCAGGACCACACTTCTACCAAAGAAGGCTTCCACAGCATATATGCAAACACAAACATGAATGAGCATAATTTCTACCTACAGTGGAGGAAGTCCTGACAATAAGAGCTCAAATAAGAACCTGTAAGTGAGAGTCATTTTCAAACAGATGAGAGAGGATGCTGCTGGAGTAGGGTGGAGAAAATTAAAAATACATTTGTGCAATTAGGGCAGTGTCAGAAAAGAATAAGAAGATAATGAATATACTCACCCTGCAGATAAGGAGCTGGAGGTGCAGGCAGTGTGATGTGCGAACTGAGAAGCCAAACCAAATTTGCGCCCCCCACCCTCTTATCTCTCCCTTGCCCTACAGTATTGCTGCTCTCACACCCACTCTGCTTCTGACTCGTGTTTCCCCAAATCTCCCCTCCTCTCTTTTGCTCCTCCTCTCTCACTCCTCTGCCTTCTCCTTTACTTCGATGCTCTTTCAGCACTGCGGAGAATTGCTTGGATTGGCTTCACTAGTTTGGGTACAGGGAGGTGGGACTAGTGTGTCTCCCCTGCGTGTGTATGTGTGAAGTAACGGGGTGGGGTGGTGGCGGTGGGGTTGCAGTGATGTAGGCTAGATGGAGAAGGAGGCACACGCGCACGAAAAAAAGCTGCGTGCACAAGAGCGCGGTGCCTGCTGGAAATGAGGACACATCATGCACTCTGACAGCGTGACGGATTCAGACGCGTGGCAGCTATTAAGGTTAACTCAATAATGAACACACTAACATCTCTCTAATGTGAATGGGAACAAAAAAAGGGAAAATGTTTGGAAAGAGTTAATTAAGCTCAAATTATAATATCAGCGGGGTAAGGTCTCATCATTTCCCAAACACTTTTCATCCACTTTTCCTGCCATAGAACATGGCAATGGCAATATTATGCTGTGGGGCCACTTTTGATCTGTAGGAAAAAGCTGGTCAAAGTTGGTTGGAAGATTGCAGGAAGAAACGTGGACTAGTTTGCAAAATTTCAGAGTGTTACACCTGTCAGGAATCCAGTTTGTGTGGTCTGTTTTTGTGTTTCCTTCCCCCCTCCACCAGGTGGTGCCCCGTCCTCATTGGTTCTCCCTGCACACCTGCAGCTCATTGCCTCATTACCTGTGGAGTGTTCTTAAGCTGCTGACTGCCACTACCTCAACGCCAGAGTGTTTGCCAATAAAGGGTACTCTAACCATGGTTAG